GTATCCTTCTGTAGGCACCTCTCCATTAAATAAGAATTGCATCGTTTCCCATATTAGAATTTCCAAGTTAATTTCTTATAGTCAAAACTCAGATACCTGAAGTACAAAGTTTACCATGAGGACTTTAATTGGCCTATGTACTCATTCTCCTCCTGATAGTAACATCTTTCAAAACTACAGTGAATATCACAACCAAGATATGGAACTTTTCCATCTCTACAAGGATCTCTTATGTTGCCCTTTTGTAGCTATATCCATTTCCTTCTGTTGTTACCCCTTCCTTAACCATTGGGTTCCACCAGCTTGTTCTTCATTTCTGTAATTTCCTCATTTCAAGGATGTTATATAAATGGAGTCATATATTATGTAATCTTTTAGGATTGGAGTTATTTCTCTCATTGTGATTCTCTGGCGAATCATACAGGTTACTGCATATATCCACAGTTCACTCCTTTCTGTTGTTGGGTAGTAGAGTACTTCGTGGTGCAAATGCCCCATGATTTGTTTAAACATTTGCCCATTGGAGGACATCTGGTTTGTTTCCAGTTTTGGGCTGTTATAAATAAGTTGCTCTAAATATTCACAGACTTTTGTGTGAACATAGTGTTTGCTTCTCAGATAAATTTCTGGGTTGTAAGATAGTTGCATGTATAGTTTTAAAACTATTTTCCAGAGTGGCTATGCCATTCTGCACTTCCACCAGAAATGTATGAATGATCCAGTTTCTCAGCAACCTCATCAGCATTTGGTAATGTCACCATTCTTTATTTTAGCCTTTCTGATGGATGGGTAGTGATATCGAGGTATTAATTTGCAGTTCCACCTATTAAGATGCAGAACATCTTTTCATGAGGGCCTTTTTTCTTTATAGCTTTTTGAGGTAGAGTTTACGTGCAGCACTTTGCAAGTTTAAGGTGTACAGGATAATGATTTGGCTTACATACCTGATGAAATGATCATCATAATAAATTTAGCACATATCCATCATATCATATACATAAAACACTAAAGAAATAGAGAAAAAAGTTTTTTCTGATAAGAATTCTTACCATTTACTCTCTTAATAAATTTCATGTATCACATACCATGGTGTTGATTATATTTATCATGTTTTACATTACATCTCTTGTATTTATCTTGTAACTAGAGGTTTGTACGTTTTGACTCCTTTCATAAGTTAAAGGGTCCTTTACAATTTATGATTCTGGCCAAAAAATTTACACTTATCTGTCTAGTCTAGTCTCTGAAGCTTGAGCTGTATCATTTACTATTTGGGTCACATGCAGGAATAGATTACAGACCACTTGAGTACAGAATTGCTAGCCAGGGTAGAAGTCCTCATGCATATTGGTAAAATCTAGTGCTTGACTGAGTTGGAAAGACCTGATGATAAGAGTCAAACTGCACATCATGTTTGGACGCATGGGGGGAGGGGCATCTGATTGTACAACAATTATCTCACATGTGTATGCAAAGGACATGTGTCTTGTTTATGATTACCAGTTGCTCTCAGTTGCTTTCTGAATACCATCGTTCTCATTCAGTCACTAAGTCCTGTCCAACTCTTTGCAACCCCATGGACTGGAGCACACCAGGCTTCCCCATCCTTCACTATCTCCTGGAGTTTGCTCAGATTCATATCCATTGAGTTAGTGATGCCATCCAGCCATCTCAATGAGTTGGCTCTTCACATCAGGTGGCCAAAGTGTTGGAGCTTCAGCTTCAGCATCAGTCCTTGCAATATAATTTCTGAATATAACTGGCCTGATTTTGGAGTACAAAGACACTGAATTGAATTAAATCACATAATAGGTTTTGCATAGCTTTACAAAAAAAGTAATTGGTCTGTACTCATATCATTAATCCCTTGTTCCTTCCCATTCCTGATATATCTTGGGTTTCTTTGAAGCTCTGGGAGAAACCAGAAGTATCAGCTAATTGTTAAGGCTTGAAGTCTAATTAAGGCATATAAGTATGTTTGAGTTTATACTATTTCTGTATTGATTATATAGGGGCTTCCCCAGGGGTTCAGTGATAAAGAATCCTCCTTCAATGCAGGAAACACAGCAGGAGCTCTGGGTTTGATCCTGGACCAGGAAGATCCTCTGGAGAAGGAAATGGCAACCCACTCCAGTATTCTTGCTTGGAAAATCCTGTGGACAGAGAAGCCTGGTGGGCTACAGTCCATGGGGTTGCAAAAGAGTTGGATAGGACTTACTGCCTAAACAAACAAAATTGATTATAAAAAAGGAATGTATCGTTAAATCTGAGATGAATTGCAGTACCATTTGCATTCATTGATTTGGATATATAATCCATACCAGATGAGCCTAAGACTAGATGATAAATTCAACAATTAGAAAGATTGATAACTAGTGTAATTATTTGAGAAAGGTGATAGAAACTCAATGGTGTGGGAAATTGTTAGAGTAATGCCCCCTAAAGAATCATGCCTCCCTGTATCTACACTTATGAGTAGTCTACAGTTCCCCCCCCAACCCCTCCACTACTGGGCTTAGCCATGTAACTTGCTTTGGGCTGAGCAGACCTACATTCAGGACAGGGAACCAGGTAGCTCATTGCCGCAGATTGAAACTCATCAGTAGACCTGATTGAAGGCAAGCCTAAAACTCAGTGGATTTAGATGAGTTAGATGCACCTTCAGGTTGAATATTTAATTGGCTTCAATGAAGACTCAATTGGGTAGATCTCAGTGGGACTTTCAGAAATAACTCAAAGACATTTACAGTAGTTAAAAGTATGACTAAAAGTTTACTTATATTTGAGGAAGCTGAATCATTAGGTTCAGTTCTTCCATCAAATGCAGAGACACAGTTTATAAAAGAGAAGAAGAAGAAAAAGGCAGTCTTGGAACAGTAGGCTATTTCCCCACTCCTCACTTTGGGAAAAGGGAAGCTATCAAAAGCAAAAAAACCTCTAAAAGAGCATGTTGACAGGATCGTTAAGGAAATCAGTTTCAATTACTTATGAATTTTCTGATAGATCTTGTGGCTTTATATGATGAATATATGTGATATGCTAATTTTGTGTAGTGTCTTGTCAGTTTACCACCACCTGCTATTTTCCTCATTATAATGCCTTACCAGGAACTGAGAGGGCAGCTGTTGAGTAGGTTCTTGTAGATTGTTATGTTTTGGGGGTGCAGAGGACATGTAGCCAGAGTTTTCACTAAATGAGAACTAGTGACCAGAATGTATGAAAGACATGCCAGAGAGCATGAGGCTTAAAAGAGGAAAACTTTTTATCCACATTAAACAACAAAATCTGGAAGGAATAGAAGAGAGTGTGGAGAATGCTACTCCACCTCCTGACCTTGAGGCGTGTCAGCGTTCATTTGAGGAGTCTGTAATGGAAGCAGCACCCTTAGTGGTGAGGCAGGTCTGAGGTAAAGAAAAGGAGGAATGTTTAGCAGAACAGTTAAAGATGTAAGGTTGTTTGTCAGCCATGAAACAGGGGTTCCACGAGCCACAGTAGAAAATGCTGGGAAGAAAGGGAATCGTTGAATGATGGATTAGATGAGAGCAGTCAAAACACAGCAGAGATGACCAAAGATGGTGACCAAGGATACTGAAAGGTTGTTACTGGACCACAAAACACGCCGGGATTCTTGGCCTCTGGAGAAGAATTCAATCTGGGGCCAGAGACGAGGCTTGATTGCTCAGAGCTTCTGTGTAATAGAGTTTTATTAAAGTGTAAAAGAGATAGAGAAAGCTTCTGACATAGACATCAGAAGGGGGCAGAGAGAGTGCCCCCCCCCCCCGCTAGTCTGTAGCTGGATATTATATAGCTACCTGCTAATTAAAGAAAGGAAATGTCTCAAAACTCAGAGAATGGCACCAGGCCCCTCACCCACAAGATACATTTTGAGATAATCTTGGCACCAGGTGAGTCATCCCAGGCCATAAAATGATTGACATAAATCTTGAAAAAAGGCAGACTCCCATACAAATGTATAGTTTCATTAACATAGATTAGGAGAACAGTGTATGAGTATAACATACTGGTTTGTCAAGTCGGTTCTGAGCCTTTAGGTAGAACGATTGAAGACAGAGTCTGGGGTAAATACATAGCACATTAACATAGCTTAAGACAAACATTTCCATAAGAAAAATATATCGGTTAGCTCAAGGTTGGAGAAGAGTTAAGTTCAGGTGGAACCAGGTGTCATTATGGCAGCACAGAATTTTAAGAGAAACCTCTTTTTATTTTTTTAATTAATTAATTAATTTATTTATTTATTTATTTATTTATCACAACCATAGTGTATCTTTTTTTTTTTTTTTATACATGTATTCCCCATCCCGGTCCCCCCTCCCACCTCCCTCTCCACCCAATCCCTCTGGGTCTTCCCAGTGCACCAGGCCCGAGCACTTGTCTCATGCACCCAACCTGGGCTGGTGAACTGTTTCACCCTAGATAATATATGTGAAGAGAAACCTCTTTTTAAATTTGTATAGAGAAGGGGGAAAAAATGTAACACTAGTTTGTTTCTTCCTGCCGCTTAAGAGAGAAAAAATAGACGTCTGACACTTGCAGCCTATTTCCTTCGTTTGGAGACCCCTGGCCTTCCTGCCTGCTATTCTCTCAATACCAAAGATTTCCTTGGGTAAAAAGATCCCAACAGTCCCCAAGAGATGAGAGAAGCACTCAGTTCTGTCATGAGTCAGCCTATCGTATAGATCCATGTTGACCCCTCAAAAGGAGTGTAGGCCTGGCAGTTCCTCTAAGTAGAAGTAGTAGGAACATTTTTCTTTAAAACATAAATGTACATATTAACATTTATTTCTGGTACAATCTGGAAGTTTTATTTTCTTCCAAACATTCATTATTTTTGTATTTTAGCTATTAAGTCATATATGCATTAAAAATCATTACCTGATTTTTTTAAATTTATGAAATGATTTAGATAATTTACAGGTGTCACCATGACTATATCAGTAATTCTATATTTAATAATTTTTCTTGTTTCTTTTTTCTAGAAAGGGTGCTTTGCTGGAGAATTCCAAATGTTGAATAAAAATACAGTAAGAACTTTACTGAAACTTCCAAAGCCTTGTGTGCACATTTCGTGTAACTTTGCTCTGATATTGTTTTTATTCTTTTGTTACACTTCCAGTCACTGTTTGAGTTAATGTAAACATATTAAAGAGAAAATATAATATTTGCTCAAAAAATCTTCATCTCTACTTTAAAAAAAAAATGCTGCTATCTTACGGCTGAATGGTGAACACAAAAAGTAGAAATCATTGGGTAAGAGAGTAAAATGCCTCTCCTTGCTGCTTTGACTGTATAGCCTCAGGATCCTCACTTGCAGAATTGAGGAAGAATTATTTTCCTCCTTGAGCAGTCTCTAAATTGGTGTTTACAGTTCTTACTGAATTTCTTTTTAAGTACTTAAAAATTATCTTGATTAATTGATCATCCACTCTGAGAGGCTTCTCCTTCCAAAAGCCAAACTGAGGACAAGGAACATAAAAAAAAGAAGGAAGAACATTCGAGGTCATAATCAGAGATTATGACTTCTGATTCCCTCCTTCATTTCACATATGAGCAAGCTGAGGTTCAGAGAGATGAAATCACTTTTTCCAAATAAAAAATTTATCTTAAAATGAAAGTGGAGATGGGAAAAGTGTGAATAAATACTTAAAACATATATACATGGCTATGAATACATATGTATGTATATATCTCAGCATAATTTTGTTAACAATTTAAAATTGATATTTTTCATATCTTCATTATATAGTATTCCTTAACTTTAACATAAAAATTTTGTTTTAACATTTCCAGAACACCATAGATTCTTACATAGGAATTACTTCTGTAAAATTTTTTAAATGAAGAGATTCATGCTTTGGTTTTTCTAATTTAAAGATTTGTGAAGTAAAAATATCACTCCATTCAAATATCCTTCTGATCAAATAATAAAATAAATTTGGCACCTTTAGTTTATCTGCAGGGTGGAGGTGGAATTTATGTTCTCCTATGGAAACTTTGGTTATGGATTTTCACATCAGGTTAGTTTCCCCTCTTTTAAAAATAATTCTATTGCAGCTCTTTAGTCATATAATCCTCCTGTGCCTCTTCCCTTTCCAGTTTGATATGTTCTTTAAAATAAATATTTTTAAAAAGAATGACATCTTTCTCTAGTCCAAGGAGAAGTGAAACTTCACCATTGTTTGTTTATACATTTTTAAACAATGATACTTTATTCAGGATGTCTTTATTTTAAAACTTCTGTGTGTAGTGTCTGTGTACAAACATACTTATGTGAAAACAAAATTAAATATTCAAGAAGTGAGTGTGTATTTTTATATCTAAAAAAATCATTAAAATGGAGTCATTTATGTTATTCAGATATTTTGTACTCTAATCACATAGAGTCCTTTCTCATTATGATTGTTTCAGCGTCAACTCTTCTTGATTCATCACAAAAGTAATATGCCCAAAGAAGATATCTTTCTAGCTTAAGCCTACCTCTTTTAATTTACTATGTGTATCCAAAGTTGCAGTGAAGATTTTTATACATTAGCCTTTATCCTTTTCTTTCATTTTGTCCTTAGGCTGGATTTCTATAGTGGAAATTATTGTCAGTAATGACCTTTTCAAGGAATTGGTCTAGAAAAATCTACCCAATAATCTACCAACATATATTCTTATTAAGTATTTGAAAGGACTGTTGATATATCTGGATATTGTCACAGCTTTGGGGCATTTATAAATCCAGTCTCGTTAGTACTTCTGTTGTATAGAAGAAAGGACCCCTATACTTTACATATAATCTTTAATTTTCAGCTTTTACTATTTTTTATACTCTTGGTTTTTTAAATTAGGAATTTAGAGTCAGTAGATCAGTCTTATTAAATAAGTCTACCGCTGGTTAACTCGGAAATCCCTATAAAATGCATTTTTAAATTTTACCTATGGTATATCATTATTTTTTTTAATACATTTTGGATCACAAGTAGGTAATGTAATGATGAAAGCTGTTAGACACAAGCTTTTTTTCTTTTCTCCTCTGATTTTTCTTCTGTCCATTCTGCCTATTTTCTTATCATGAATTGGGCCTTATAGGGATTCTTAATTGTTTAGTCCTTTTGCTACAGTCACAGGTCATGAACACTAACTTCTGAGGTAGGTGTTGTGTGAATGTAGCATATAACAATCCCAGAGATAGACCCTTTTCAAATAAAACTGGGCAGGTATTGCCTTTTATTTAGGTGGATTCTACTAAAAACTAGGAATGAAGGCATTATAAGGAAAAGAGTGGGAAGTTTAATAAAAGTTCTACCTGATTTTATGTCTGTGAACTTTTCAGTTACATATTCCCCTACTTACCTATCATGGTAATGTATAAACAGTACTTGCACTGGGGAGATGAAGTTACATTCAAACCCTGGCTCTCATGCCTATTGGGTAGCCCTTGAACAAATTACTGATCGTTAGTATTACCTGTAAGATAGAGATACTTATCTACCTCTTAGAATTATTGAAAAGATTAAATAATACTGAAGATGTAAAATTCTTGGGAGATACTTAATGCTCAATGTTAATTCTTTCTTTCTCTCCTAATTAATTTCCTCCTTATATATATATGGGCTTCCCTTGTGGCTCAGCTGGTGAAGAATCTGCCTGCAGTGCGGGAGGCCTGGGTTCGATCCCTGGTTAGGAAGATCCCCTGGAGAAGGGAAAGGCTACCCGCTCCAGCAGTCTGGCCTGGAGAGCTCCATGGACTGTGTACTCAGTGCTCAATGTTAATTCTTTCTTCCTCTCTTAGTTCATTTCCTCCTCATTTCATTATATTAAATAATTTTATATATATATATATAAAATTTAAGTCCAGGAAATAGTCATATTAGGATGAATTGAAGTTGTGACTAAACAGTGTTAATATGTACTTATTACTTTCTTCAGTTAAAACCTCTTCAGAAAATTATTAAGCCATCTATGTTTATGGATATTGCACCACCTCCAGAAAGAACAGACCCTGTGACGTAAGTGTTAAAAGTCTTATTAAAAGTCATTTAAAACATGTAATCCATTTGGTGGAACATCTTGATTGTTTTTAAGACATGTCCAGAATGAGCTAGTCTCCAAGGTAAAGAAAGCAGTGAATTGCTTTGCCTCAGGTGGAAGATATTTTGAGTTTCTGGATGTAGCCCTGGAGAGAGTAGTTGAGGAGGTCTGGAGATAAGAAGAGAAGGGTTGCCAACTTTGTGACTAAAGGACGGAAGGGAGTGGAAGCCTAGTGAGGAAGTTGTCCAGTGAGATATTCCTTTTGCAGAAAGAGGTGAGGAACTTTTAAGATCAAGGTGCCTAATAGTTGCATTTTCTGTTCTGCAGTGTGGTAACATTACCCCCATTTCCACACACTCCATTTGTTACTTCTAAATTTTCAGAAAAAAACTTATAGTCAAAAAATGCTGTTAGTAGGCCAAGAAGTAACTTAAAATATAGTATATAAATTAGTCTTGAAATTTCAACAGTAAAGATAGATCAAAGAAAAATGAGCACCTGAGAGAGATATTTAATCTATGGTGCTATGCAAGAATAAAGAATAGAAAATACCTGAAATGGGATTGAGGAAATTAGGTATAGAATAGGAAATTATATTCTGAAGAGCTGACTGTCCTGTCAACACTGAGCATTATCATTAAAAATAAATTTGGTCCATTTGGTATTGGTGATTTGTTGAAATGGTAAAGGTTAACGTTTTTCTTATGTTTATTGATTGTTATTTCATGTCTATCCACTGATTCAATAGACACTTATTGAATGTTTGCTGCACCACACGTTTAATGCAAAGGTAGCATGTAAAAAATATGGTGATAGGAATGAGATGGAGCCCTCCTAGAGAGAAACATGAGGTCCGTGGGACACAGCCAGGGTGCCTCCTGTACTTTTTAGGGGAGTTAGGAGGAAAGTATGAAGTAAGGATCCACAGAAGAAAAAGCTCTGGATGTAGGACTTGGAAGGTGAGTAGTGGTGCACCAGGCGGGTTGTGTAAGGCTGAGGAGACACACTCCCTGACGAGGGCACGTGAGCAGACGGTGGGAGCCACAGGAGGCTGTGTTATCACGGAGAGCAGTGCCTGGTGAGTGGTGGGTTGCCAGGGACACAGGAATAAGGCAGGGAGCAGTAGGAGCTGAGCTGGAGCAGCAGTCGGGGCAAGACGTAGCAGTCAAGAGGTCAGGCCCCAGAACCAGACTATGTGGGTTCTCCCATGGGCTAGCTGTGCAACCTATTGAGCAAGTTACTTCGGTTCTTTGTGCTTCATCTGTTGAACGGAATGAAAATAACAGCTGCCCAGGTGAGTTATTGTAATATTAAATAAGTTACGTATAAAGCACTTGGAACATGGTAGCAAATAACAAAATTGTCAGTTGTTAACTACTTACTGAAGTAATGAATGTTTTATCATCACCCTCATCATTGTAAGTTTATGCTTCTCAAATGTGAGTGAAGTTTACTGTTTTGAGCCCTCCCACATGTGGCGGGGCAATGCAAAGGCACTGGAAGATATGGTGCATCTTTCTGGAGTGTTACTTTGTTCATAGATTTTGAAAGGGAAAATGTTATCTTAAAATTAACATCCTCATATTATGTAGTAGAATTTAAAAGCCACATAAATTTTCAAGATAGCAAAACGATTGATTCCAGGAAATGATGTGGTTTGTGTCTGATTGCATTAAGCTACACTTCCAGACACCTTCACTGTCCTCTACCCACAGGAGTTCTTTATTGGGAAAATTTGGAAATACTTCAGATGTAGAGCTGTTGGAGAATTTCAAGCGAGGGAGTTAATAGGATTGACTATAGACAGAATTAGTTTAGTATTGGAGATCAAGGACTGGAGGGAGCTATCGCAGTAGTCTACACAAGAGGTACTGACAGTCTGAAAGAAGGCAGTGGCTAGCTGGGTATGATGGTTAATCCTGTGTGTCAGCTTGACTGGGCCATGGGGTTCCCAGATATTTGGTCAAACATCATTCTGGATGTTTTTGTAAGAGTGTTTTGAATGAGATTAACATTTAAATCAGTAGACTGAGTAAAGCAGGTTGCCCTCATTGGGTAGGCTTCATCCAACCAGTTGAAAGCCTGAATAGAACAAAGAACTCTGCCCTTTCCATGAGTAGGAGAGAATTCCTCCTTCCCAGTAATAGGCTTTGACTGAAATGTTGGCTTTTTCCTGCCTTTGGACTTGAATGGAAACATCAGATCTTCCTGGATTTGTAGTCTGAACTTCTCTCTCTTTCTCCCCTGCACCCCCACCCCTACTCTCCAGCTTACTTGTTTTGTTTCTCTGAATGCCTCTCACTAATACAGATTTTGATACTGAGAGTGGCTTGAGAGAAACAGAAGTTTAAGGTTGAGTTTTCTGAATTAGTTCTGAGTTTTCTGAAGTTAGCTCTCTAATCTGATTAGATTTGAAGACTCTAATGACTCGATTTCTAGTGGTAAAGAGACACTGATACTCCTCAGCATGACCTGGCAATAGCAATGTGAAAAATATCACCATTGGATATCCCTAATCAACAATTTATAAGCAAAGATATGAGTGACTATATATTTGATACTTCCAAACATTTTTGTCAAACTAGTGAACATAATGAGTTTGCTCAAGGATTCAAATTCCCAGCTCAAGCCCAGTGTAAATGACCTGAAATCATCCATGTGTGTTCTGAAGGAGACCCTGAGCTCCTGTAACCATAATACTAAGATTACTGACAATCAAAGGCAGAATTTCATCTTGCAGCTGGCTGAATTACAAGGCGAATTGAGCTCCCAGCTTCACAAGGTGTCAACTTTTAAAGTGAGAGTATTGATTGGGACTAAGTGGAACCTTCAAGTTAGAATGGGAAAATAGAAAATCTTGATGAAACTGGGGACACTGAGCCCATAAATTCTGATATACCTCCTTTGCCAGTGACGTCTTTATCTGTAGCAAAAGTGAAAGTGGGCTTTCTGCCTCCATCTCAGAAGATTAACTCGGTATTGCTTGAGGAAATAGTAATCTCCTCTTCTGAGGCAGTTGCCATGCAATATGATGTTGATTCTCCTCAAGACTCACCCTCACAACCCCTCTTTGCTTTTAGGCTTATAACTAGATGCAAGTCCCAGCAAGCTCCTAAAGGTGAGGTTCAAAGTGTGACCCACGAGGAAGTGCATTACACTCTAAAAAGAGCTGCCTGAGTTTTCTCATTTATATATACAAAAATCCAGGGGATGTGTAAGGATATTTAATGTATGGTATAGTGGTGGCAGGACTATTACGTTGGATCATATAAGAAATTTACTGACATGGGATGACTAAGTAGAGATTCTGTGTTGATGCAGCTTGAGGGGTTACATAGAACTCTTTACAGTGTGTTGGTTACTGAAACATGGACCAGAAGATAACCCACTATGAGTGAATTGAAAAACCAGACCTAGTTTAGTTTAGTGTAGAGGAAGGGATTCAGAGGTTTAGGGAGATTATAGTGTTAGAGAGGATTTGTCATTTAAGACCTATTTATTCTGGGAGGCTGCAGAAGGCACACTGATTTTTATGAAGCTGAGAAAAAAGTTTGCGAGGGAATCCCCACCCTTGAAGAGCCCTGTGATTGCTCTTCTCTGAGTAGACCTTGCAGTGGGAACTGCAGTCATTGGAAAGGAAAACCTAAACGAATTGGGAGGAATTGGATCCCAGCGTCACAAGGTAGGTGTGGGTACTGTGCTGGACAGCAGAGTCAAAGCAGCAGACTAGTCTGACTCATGCAGAACCATGGCATTGGATAGTCGATCATGGTATTCCTGGAAACACAGTATACAGGAACTTTACTAAATTCTTGCTTGATCTGCATTAGCATTTAAGTTCTAGATCAAGTGAACAAAAGTAACCTAAATTATAAAAGATGATGCTGTGAAAATGACACCCCCAATATGCCAGCAAATTTGGAAAACTCTGCAGTGGCCCCAGGACTGGAAAGTGTCAGTTTTCATTCCAATCCCGAAGAAAGGCAATGCCAAAGAATGTTCAAACTGCTGCATAGTTGCCCAAATCTCACACATTAGCAAAGTAATGTTCAAAATTCTCCACGCTAGGCTTCAACAATATGTGAACCAAGAACTTCCAGATGTTCAAGCTGGATTTAGAAAAGGCAGAAGAACCAAAGATCAAATTGCCAACATCTGTTGGATCATAGAAAAAGCAAGAGAATTCCAGATAAACATCTGCTTCATTTAAAGCTTTTGACTGTGTGGATCACAACAAACTGTGGAAAATTATTCAAGAGATGGGAATACCAGACCACCTTACCTGCCTCCTGACAAACCTGTGTGCAGGCCAAGAAGCAACAGTTAGAACCGGACATGGAACAACAGACTGGTTCCAAATTGGGAAAAGAGTATGTCAAGGCTCTATATTCTCACCCTGCTTATTTAAATTATGTGCAGAGTACACCATGCGAAATGTCGGGCTGGATGAAGCACAAGCTGGAATCAAGATTGCCAGGAGAAATATCAGTAACCTCAGATATGCAGATGACACCACCCTTACGGCAGAAAGCAAAGAGGAACTAAAGAGCTTCTTGATGAAAGTGAAAGAGGAGAGTGAAAAGGTTGGCTTAAAACTGAACATTCAAAAAATGAAGATCATGGCATCCGGTCCCATCACTTCATGGCAAATAGATGGGGAAACAATGGAAACAGTGAGAGAATTAATTTTCTTGGGCTTCAAAATCTCTGCAGATGGTGACTGCAGTCATGAAATTAAAAGACGCTTGCTCCTTGGAAGAAAAGCTATGACCAACCTCGACAGCATATTAAAAAGCAGAGACATCACTTTGCCGACAAATGTCCATCTAGTCAAAGCTATGGTTTTTCAGTAGTCATGTATGGATGTGAGAGTTGGGCCATAAAGAAAGTGAGTGCCGAAGAATTTATGCTTTTGAACTATGGTGTTGGAGAAGACTCTTGAGAGTCTCTTGGACTGCAAGGAAATCAAACCAGTAAATCCTAGAGGAAATCAATCCTGAATGTTCATTAGAAGGACTGATGCTGAAGCTGAGCCCCAATACTTTGGCCACCAGATGTGAAGAGCCAACTCATTGGAAAATACCCTGATGCTGGGAAAGATTGAAGGCAGGAGGAGAAGGTGACAACAGAGGACAAGATTGTTGAATGGCATCACTGACTCAATGGACATGAATTTAAGCAAGCTCTGGGAGATGGTGGAGGACACGGAGGCCTGGCAGTCCACGGGGTCTCAAAGAGTCGGACATGATTGAGCAGCTGAACAACAACAAAATGTCACTGTTATCTACCAGTTAGAATAGGGGCTTAGAGAGAGAAGGTGGTCAAAGAAGTTTTAACTCTGATTCATCTCACAGGGGACCCAGTTGGTCCCCAAATCCATCCTGTAGTTATTTTCTCAGTTCTAGAATGCATAAATAGACATATTCAGCAGTTGGTGAATATCTCCCTTGACCTGTGGAATGAGGGATGTTACAGTGGGAAAGACCAAATGGAAGTCACTAGAGGTTCCAATGGTAAACCAAAAGTAATACTGTATTACTGGAGGGATAGCAGAGATTTGTGCCACCATAAAGATTTGAAAGATGTAGAGATGGTGGTTCCCATCACATCCCCGTTCAACTCACTTATCTTGCCTGTGCTGAGACAGATGTATCTTGGAGAATGACAGTAAATGATTGTAAGCTTAACCTGGTGGTGACTCCAAATGCAACTGCTGTACCAGATGTGGTTTTATTGCTTGAGTGAATTAACACATCTTCAGTACCTGTCCTGCAACTCTTGGTTTGACAAATGCTTTTTTCTCTGTATTTGCTAATAAAGACCATCCATAACAGTTTTCTTTCCACAGGCAAGACCAGTAGTACACCTGCTCTGTCCTACCTCAGGGATATATCTCTTCTCAACTCTATAATTTAGTAGGCAGGACTCTTGATTACTTTCTCTTATATAAGGTATCACACTGTCCCTTCCAGTGATGACATGCTGATTTGACCTAGTGAGCAGCACTAGTGTAGACCTATTGGTAAGATATTTGCATGTCAGAATATGGGCAATGTCTAATAAAATTTGAGGGCTTTCTACCTCAATGTAAGTCTAATAGAATTTGAGGACTTTCTATCTCCCTGGTGGCTCAGATGATTAAAAAAAAAAAAATCTGCCTGCAGTGCAGGAGACCTGCATTCAGTCTGTGGGTTGGAAGGATCCCCTGGGGAAGGGTGTGGCTACCCACTCCAGTATTCTTGCCTGGAGAATTCCATGGGCAGAGGAGCCTGGTGGGCTACAGTCCATGGGGTTGCAAAGAGCTGAACATGACTGAGCGACTCTGACACTTTTTTACTACTTAAGTGAAATTTTAGGGATACAGACATGTGGCTTGTTAAGATATTCCTGCTGAGGTGAAGGGTAAGTTATTGTGTCTGGGCTCTACGACAACCAAGAAACAGTCATACCACCTAGTGGGGTTCTTGAGTTTTGGAGACAACATATTCCTTTGGGTATGCTGCTCTGGCCAACTTACTCAGTAACCTGGGAAAAAAGTTTATGTGTGTGTATATATATATATAATTTTTTATTCTCTCATTTCCTTATCATGTAACATAACATGTATTCACTTTATATCATAATATTTAAGTGTTGTAAACCTTATGTCATAGTTATTTAAATTTCAGGATATTAAGCAGAAAAGTAAACATCACCCAAGGACTTTATGTCCTCTTATAGGGAAGGAGCTAGTGAGTTTTTGGCTGTATGTATGAAGGAGAGTTGTATCATGTAAGGTGAATTATGACCTTTTTATTTTCTCATTTGTAAATAAAGCATGCTGTAAAGAGATGTTTATGGGTGCCAAGTTGACAAGGGGTTGAACTTGTGATGGTTAATTTTTTGCGTCCACTTGACTGGGCCATGAAAAGATTTGAACCTAGAGATAGGAAGAGAAATCTGGGCTCAAATGCTTTCTACATCTCCCTAGAACTTCAGATCCTTCTCTCCTTTCGCATCTTTGCTACCCACAATCTTAGTAGTAGGAGTACTCAAAATCCACTCTCTCAGTATTTCTGACTTCCTTTTTCCTAGCCCTGTTCTCTAGTGGTCCAATGTGGATATGTGAGCTTACAGTTTAAAACAGAGTGATTCAAAAGTAATAGCTAACATTGATTTTAGAAGTGTACTTCTGTATAATTTTGATATTTAACTTTATTACCATTTTCCAGAAATGTTATTATACCACAGCCAATAGCATATCCAGCATTCTTATCCCCAGACCTGAACGTTAGTGTTGGGATGCCAACCACAACATCCCAGTCCAACCAGCCATCTGTCGTGCAACTTGAAAAACTTCAGCAACAACCCCGGGAAAGGTAAAAAACCAAACCAAAACAAAAAATTTTCATGTTACTTATGTATTATTTATATATTATTTTTTTCCTTTGAGACATGGGCTTGCTATTGGTCCAGAAAACTTCATCATGGTGGTATTTCATATGTCCAGAGGTTATTCCAGAGTTTTGCTTTAGCATATTTAAGGGTTTGTGGTAAGAAGTCAATGACATGGGAACAAAAGGGGTGAGAATTCATTGTAAGGGAGAAAGTACAATATTTGCTCTGCCTCTTCACTCAACAATGTATTTTATAGGTCTCTTATGGTCTTTTCTATATTTCCCATCTTTTTTTCTCGATGCTTTAGATATTTTCTTCTGACCTATCTTATAATCATTGAATCTTCTTTGTTCTTTATCTGTTGTTAAGCCAACTGAATTCTTAATTTTGGTTATTTCCTTTTCAGTTATGGAATTTTCATAATTTATTTCATAGTTCCACTTTTCTGCCAAAATCCCCAATCTTATCTTTTAGTTCTTTGAACATAATGATCATTGTTATTTCCAAGTTCATCCCTGATAACTTGATTATTTGGATTTCCTAAAAGTCTATTTCTGTTGTTGGCTTTTCTTCTCATAGTTTTTAGTCATATTTTCTGTTCTCACATGTCTAGTTGTTTTTATCAAGTGCCAAACATTGTATTTGAAAATCTGTGGAACTACTTTAAGGATCTTGATTATATATTTTTTACAGATAATATATAAATACATTTGCATCTGGTTGCCAGCTATCCTAGGAACACTAAGCAATCCTAGATCATCTTAATTCAGTTGAGACTGAAGTGATTTGGGCTTTCATTCCTGTGAACATCAGTCTTTTTATGGTTTACTGTGGATAGCTGGTGAGAAGTAGCTGTAAACCACAGAGAGTCCAGCCTGACACTCTGTGATGACCTAGAGTGGTTGGATGGGGGAGGGGAGGGAGGCTCAAGAGGGAGCAGATATATGTATAATTATGGCTGATTTGTCTTGTTGTATGGCAGAAATCAACACAGCATTGTAAAGCAATTTTCCTCTAATTAAAAAATAAATTAAAAAAAAGAATGACACTAGTGCGGGGCACCCAGGGTACAATATTTAAGGAGGACTTTATTCTTGGGGAAGAACCCTTTAGGGTCCCAACTGAAACCCCAGGTGTTTACCACAGCTTCTCATCCTTAGCAGGGTCTGGACTCTGGTTTTCCTCGTTCTTACATATTTATCTCAGAGCTCTTAACTCTTCATCACCACAAATACCTTGAAGGAAAATGGCTCTAAATCATGGGCTCAAAGTCTCCAGACTTCTTTTCTGTCTGGAATCTTGGATCTGAACATCATTGCTGCCTTTATAAACTGACTGATGCTTCCAAACAAAAAAATTTTAAATATTTTGTCCAGTTTTTTTCAGTTGTCCAGTGAGATGGTATGTCTGAAGTAACCTGTTCCATCATTGCCAGAAATAGAACTCTTGAATATTTTAAAAATAGTGTTTATGTGTATGCATAGTTTACTAGACTTATAAATTAATTCATAAACATTGAATTGAGTCATCAAGAAACCCCCTTTTCCCCTAGTCATATGTTTTATTCTTTTAATGACGTTTGTACATGCGTGCTCAATTGCTTCAGTTGTGTCTGACTCTCCAAACCTATGGACTGCAGCCTTCCAAGCTCCTCTGTCCATGGGATTCTGCAGGCAGAAATACTGGAGTGAGTTGCCAGGGTTTCATCCCCACTCAGGGATCACACACACATCTCTTACATCTCCTGCATGTAGGTGAATTCTTTACCACTTGTGCCATCTGGGAAGTCCTCAATAACATTTATTTATAATTTTTTTTGGAATATGGTTGATTTACAATTCTAAATAGTAAACTGATTGTCAACAAAGGTCCGTCTAGTCAAGGCTATGGTTTTTCCAGTAGTCATGTGTGGATGTGAGAGTTGGACTATAAAGAAAGCTGAGCTCCAAAGAATTGATGCTTTTGACCTGTGGTGTTGGAGAAGACTCTTGAGAGTCCCTTGGACTGCAAGGAGATCCAATCAGTCCATCCTGAAAGAGATTAGTCCTGGGTGTTCATTGGAAGGACTGATGTTGAAGCTGAAACTCCACTTTGGCCACCTGATGTGGAGAGCTGACTCATTTGAAAAGACCCTGATGTTGGGAAAGATTGAGGGCAGGAGGAGAGGGCGATGACGGAGGGTGAGATGGTTGGATGGCATCACCAACTCAATGGACATGGGTTTGGGTAGATTCCAGCAGTTGGTGATGGATAGGGAGGCCTGGTGTGCTGCGGTTCATGGGCTTGCAAAGAGTCGGACATGACTGAGTGAATGAACTGAACTGAACTGATTTACAATGTCTTGTTAGTAAACAAGACATTTTTGTCTCTTGTTATGGTCTTTGGCTGATTTATTTGGTTGTCCATTTTATTCTTTTAGCACTTTGAGTGTATGATTGCCACTTTCTTCTGGCCTACAAAGTTTCTGCTAAAAGATTTGTTCATAGTCTTATGGTAGCTTCTTTGTACATAGCAAATTGTTTTTCTCTTGCTGCTTTTAAGATTCTCTCCTTGTCTTTCATTTTTAGCAGTTTAATTTTAATGTTACTCAGTGTGAGTCTTTTGGATTACTTTTATTGGGAACTGTCTGGACTTCCTTGATCTGGTGTCTGTTTCTTTCCTCTGGTTAGGGAAGTTTTCAGTCATTATTTCTTTGCATAAGCATTCTGTCCCATTCTCTCTCTCTCCTTCTAGTTGCCTCCCCTGTAATAAATATATTGGTCTACTTGATGGTGTATCATAAGTTCCTTAAGCTGTCTTTTCTCTTTTTCATCCTTTTCTGCTTCTCTGATTGGATGAATTTCATTGCTTTGTCTTCACATTCACTGATCCTTTCTTCTGAATCATCTGGTTTGCTCTTAATCTCTCTGTTGAATTTTCTTCAGTTATTGTATTCTTCAGCTCTGTGATTTCTATTTGATACTTTCTAGTAGTTTCATTTATGTCTGTTTCTAGAGTTTTATCTTTTTCTTTTGTTTGGAACTTATGTTTCTGGAGTTTTATTCCTTTGTTTAGGACTTTCTCCTCTCTTACTTCATTTTCCTAACTCTCCATGTTGGTTCCTGAACATTAGATAAAACAACCACCTCTGTTAGTTTTGATATTGTGGTCTCATGTAGGAAATGAACCTTATCATCAGCCTAGTCCAAGTTCTTGGTTGTCCCTCACACCTTCGTGACTGTCCCAGTTACCTTCTTTGTTTTTAGTGACCCTCCCAAGACTTGAGGGTGTGTCAAGACTTGTCAGTGTCCCAGATGGGAGGACTTCAGTCAGCACCTACATTCAGGCTGATTGGAAGGCTGAAGCCCCAGGTAGATGCTGGGGAAGTGTGTAGTTGGAACCCTTCCAAGGAGAAACTGGTGAGACTTTCCTGTCCTCTCTGTGCTGGGTCTGTGTGTTTACGCACAGGGCTGGTAGCTCCTGTACCCATTAGGAACTTCTTCTTTGTGTGCTGTGGTCCTGTGGACTGGGGAATGCAAACCCTGTTGACTGTGACATCAGGCAACCCGGGGACCTGTGCCTCGATGGCAGCCACAAAATCTGGGGTGCCAGTTGTGTGTGGAGATACTGGTGATCTGGATCAGGCTAGGAGAGAAGGGAGATGTGGAGTCTGCCAGCTTCCCTGGTTTCCTAGAAGCATGCTAAGTTAGAGGCCTGACCTCCAAGCAGCAGCTTTTACAGAATTCAAGTAAGCATTTCCGGGGAAGGACTGGGGGGTGTGCAAATTTGCCTACATTGTGCCGAGCCCTGGGCAAACAGCTCTGGCAAGTCCTTAGTGAGCCCATTAAAAACTTTATTTATTTTTAGCCTGTGTGTCTCCCGGTCACAAGGTAGGTATGACCTAGCAAGGTGTTTTCAGGGCCTGTCTTTAAAGTGGTAGTCTTGAAGTTGGAGCACTACATGTAGAGTCCAAACTTTTCTGTCCTCAAGTAGATTCCGTCCCAATTGTATGGCATTGTGCCCGGGTTAGGTTTATGGTGAAAGTGTGTCTCAGCCTCTCTTAGCCATTTTGTTGTGAGTTTTCTTTCATGTGTCTAGTGTTTCAGAGTTGCTCAGCTACTTCTAGATTTCTTTCAGCAGGATTTCTATTTCTGGATTTCTTTCTTGTATAGCTGTAGATTAGGTGTATCTTTGGGAGGAGATGAATGAGTTCAGAGGCTTTTTCACCATCTTGTACAGAAATGCACAAATTTCTTCAATTCTTGACTTAGTAAAACACAACTGGATCATCATAACAGCTTCTCCATTCAAAGAGAGTGGCTCCCTGAGTTCCACCTGCTGAACCTCAACTTGTTTGGATTCCAGTGACATGGATGGCTGTTGCTCTGTCTTCTCTTGAATGGAAGTACCACCCAACCCCCTTCTTTCTAGAAGAATGGGTCCCCCTCTGCTCACTGACTGCCAAATATCTTTCCTGTGTATTTCAGCAATCTAAGGATGTTATTTTGCTCTGTATTATCTTCTTCTTATAACTATTGGATTGGCCAAAAAGTTCCTTTGTTTTTTTTATGTAAAAATAAGAGACACATTTTTCATTTTCACCAAGAAGTTTATTGAACCGTGTATTCACCATTTTGTTCTACTACCTTCTCCTATTTTTTAGACAACTTCATAATTCCATCTTCCCAATTCTTTTATCTTTTTGAGCAAAGAAGTTGCCTTTTACAGTCTTCCAGGGAATTGAAATGTTTTCCATTAAGAGAATTTTGTAAACTGAAATAAATGGACATTCGAAGGTGTGATGTTTGGTGAATACAGAGGATGAACCAGAACTTCTCAGCCAAGCTGTGACAGTTTTTATCTTGTCATCAAAGAAACATGTGGTATTGCATTATCCTGATGGAAGATTATGTAATTCTCTTGACTAATTCTAAAGGCTTTCTGTTGAGTGCTGCCATCAGTTGATCTAATTGGAGAGGTACTTATTGAAATTCATCATTTGGTTTTCCAAAAGGAGCTTATAATAGGGGACTTCCTTCCGAACCCACCATATACAAAAATCACCTTCTTTGAATGAAGACTGGCCTTTGGTGTTTGGTGGTGATTCATTTTGCTTGTCCCATGATCTTTTTTCTATTCCATATTATTATACAGTGCCCACCACAGTTTGTTTTAAAAATGGAATGTTTTTGGTGTGTTTTAAGTAGGGAATTGTGTGTGGAAAAACACTCTAGGATTTTTTCACTTAACTTATGTGGACTCCAAACATCAAAATGATGAACATAACCAAACATGCGGATTTTCAATGCTTGATTTGGATGTTTTGAGTATGTCAGCTACCTCCCACATGGTATAATGTTGATTAATTTATGTCTTGATTTGCTTACTATCAACTCCAACTGGTCTACCCAACTGTGGAGCATCACTGGCAGGAAATATCTAGCATGAAGTTTCTCAAACCGCTTTTGACATGTTCAGTCACAGCACCTTCTCCATACACTGCGCAAATCTTTGTGTTTCCATTGTGTTTTTACCTTTCTTGAAATAATGAAGCCGAATATGCTGAAAATGTTGCTTCTTTTCTTCTGTCCTCAATATTAAAGTGGCTACATAAAAGTTCACCAATGTTGATAATTATTTAAATGCATACTTATATGGCAACTGTCACAATACAGTCCAACAAAATTGTTTTGAGTGACGGTAACCACTAATTGCTGCTTGAGCCATCTGATGGAAAAAACGAACAAACCTTTTGATCAACCCAATACTTTGGCCCTGATAATTCTCTATTGCCTATCTTAAATGAAATTAATTTTCCTGAAATTTTTGTAGAAGACTTGGTTTAGAAAACTCTTCTAGTTTCATAGAACTCCCACTTCTGGAGTTTTTATTTGGTGTTTAAAAATACAGTGGGGCTTCCCTGGTGGTTCAGATGGTAAAGAATCTGCCTACATTGCAGGAAACCCAGGTTTCTGCAGGGCCTGTTCAAAACAGAGACCTGTCTGGTCAGTTTTGATTATTCTCAGTGGTTAGACTACTCCAGTCCTCTTAGTTCTTATCATGAATCCTTTGTACTCACCCACTAATGAAGTAAGCAAAACCCTCCAAGTTTCAACTGCTGTTCTCAAACTGGCTGGCTGTGCTTTCTTGTGACTGCCTGTTGGCTATTTGGGGATGACTTACTCTCACATTCATCAGATGCCCCTGTTACACCTGTTGCTTTCTCCCATATATTCACTGATACCGTGAAGGTCTTATGTGCATGGGGTTAATAGGAAAACCTTGTCACATGATTTTGTTGTAAATGTTGCCTATAAGTTTTGGGGTATGCTAGCCAGATACTGTGAGTTTTTATGTAGATATTTGGGAAGATTCAAAAACTATACTGTAACTGCTTCTATCATCATCTTGGAATTTTCCTTATTTTGCAAAACTTTTATATTCATAATACTTTATTGTGGTATCATTTGGGGGGATTTATTTAAACAATCATCTATAAGTAATAACAGTTGTTTCTTTGTTCCCAATCCTTAATCTGTAACTTTTACTTGTCATTCTGTGCTGGCTAAAAGCTCCAGTTAATGTCTCTTATAAATAATGGATATCTTTATTTTGTTTAGGATCTTTCATGGCAAAGCTCATAGCATTAAAAAACCAAACACATTATTTATGTAGTTTTTTTTGCTGATGTCCTATACCAAATAAAGTAAATTATTTCCTTCTCTTCCTCGTTTTCTGTGAGTTTTTTATTTTAATCATAAATGGCCATGGGATTTTACCAAATTATTTTTCTCTTTTAATCAGCTAAATTGTATGTAAATTATGTTTTATTGTTAATGTCAAAATATCCCTATATTCCTGGAATAAAGTCAATTTGTTCATGGTATGTTATCTTTTCCTTATACCACTAGGTTTTTTGTACTGAAATTGTATTTTATTTGTAAGATTTGCATCTGTGTTTGTGAGTGAGATTAAATTAATTTTCCTTTTTTGTAATGTCCTTCTTATACTTTATTATCAAGGTCAGTGTCCTCATGAAATAAATTGAGAAACATTTCCTCTTTTCCATTTAATTCTTGTCAATTATATGTTTAGATTATGAAAGTCTTTTGAAATTTTTTGGATTAGAAACAAAATTCTCGTCTTTTTACTTATTTTATTACTGAAGATATATATGTACTGAATAATTTTAAAAAATATGTATTTGTTGCTTCCATAATGAAACCAATATATATAGAATAATTTCTAAAATATATGTGTATAACTTAAAAATAATCAGACCATTGCCTAGATATTTACAATATAGGGTTAAGAAATACAACATTACCAATATTATGTGTTTCATGTGCCCTTATAAGATTACATCCCTCTCCAGGAAACTACTACTCTGAATTTTATTCTTTTTCTTTTGTATCCTTAAACAATATATTGTTGTTTTTTCTTTAAGAACTTTATATAAATGTATCATACTGTATATGTTGTTCTTTGATTCATACCATATGTATTCTTCTGTCACTTTTTAAGTCTGTGACTGACTTCTTTCTTTAGGCTGGAAAAAATGAAAAAGGAATATAGACATCTAAGTACATGGGCAGAAAAAGCTAGCTATTTAGAAGGACTTCTTACCCCAGGATTAGAACATAAAGAACCTAAGGTAATTAACATAACACATTGTTTCGTATATAGATTTTTATTTAAAATTATGATAATTAAAAATAATGATCAGAACCCTGTTCTTTGTGTCTGTGTCTCCTCTGCTTACCCTGTGCTCACAGATGGAAAGAACAGACTTTGGACTCAGTGGGAGGAGGAGAGGGTGAGATGACTTGATGGAAGAGCATTGAAACACATACATTATTATATGTAAAACAGATAACTAGTGCATGAAGCAGGCACTCAAAGCCAGTGCTCTGTGACAGCTCGAGGGATAGTGTAGGGAGGGAGGTAGGAGGTAAGTTCAGGATGGAGGGGACACAAGTATACCAAGGCTGATTCATATTGATGTATGGCAAAACCATCACAATATTGTAAAGTAATTCTTCTCCAATTAAATAAATGATGATCGGACACTGCTCATTTTTCCCTCTCTTGTTGTTGTTCAGTTGCTAAGTCATGTCTGACTCTTTATGACTCCATGAACTGCAGCACACTAGGCTTCCCTGTCCTTCACCATCTCCCAGAGTTTGCTCAAACTCATGTTCACTAAATCAGTGATGCCATCCAGCCATCTCATCCTCTGTCATCCCCTTCTCTTCCTGCCCTCAATCTTTCCCAGCATCAGGATCTTTTCCAATGAGTGGGGTCTTTGCATGAGGTGGCCAAAGTATTGGAGCTTCTGCTTCAGCAGCAATCCTTCCAATGAATATTCAGGGTTGATTTCTTTTAGGATTGACTGGTTTGATCTCCTTGCTGTCCAAGGGATTCTCAAGAGTCTTCTACATCACCACAATTCAAAAGCATCAGTTCTTTGGTACTCAGCTTTCTTTATGGCCCAGCTCTCACACCCATACATGACTACTGGGAAAATACAGACCTTGGTTGGCAAAGTAATGTCTCTGCTTTTTTAATATACTTTTTAATATGCTATTTAGATGTAGATATAGCTTTTCTTCCAAGGAGCAAGCGTCTTTTAATTTCATGGTTGCAGTTACCATCTGCAGTGATTTTGAAACCCAAGAAAATAGTCTCTCACTGTTTCCATTGTTTCCCCATCCATTTGCCATGAAGTGATGGGACTGGATGCCATGATCTTTGTTTTTTGAGTGTTGAGTTTTAAGCCAGCTTTTTCACTCTTCTCTTTCACTTTCATCAAGAGGCTCTTTAGTTCCTTTTCACTTTCTGCCATGAAGGTGGTATCATCTGCATATCTGAGATTATTGACATTTCTCCTGGCAATCTTGATTCCAGCTTGTGCTTCATCCAGCCTGGCATTTCTCATTATGTGCTCTGCATAGAAGTTAAATAAGCAGGGTGACAATATACAGACTTGACGTACTTCTTTCCCAATTTGGAGCCAGTACATTGTTCCATGTCCAGTTCTAACTGTTGCTTCTTGACCAGGTCTTGACCAGGTTTCTCAGGAGGCAGGTAGTGTGGTCTGGTATTCCCATCTCTTTAAGAATATTCCACAGTTTGTTGTAATCCACACAGTGAAAGGCTTTAGCAAAGTCAATAAAGCAGATGTTTTTCTTTAGAATTCTCTTATTTTTCCTATGATCCAGTGTATGTTGGCAGTTTGATCTCTGGATCCAGCTTTTACATCTGGAAGTTCTCAGTTCACATACTGCTGCAGCCTAGCTTGAAGGATTTGAGCATAGTTTCTCTACTTTCATATTCTGATAATGTGACAATTCAGTAAATATTGATTACTTATAAGGTTTAGTTTTTAACAGCTTTGTTGAGATATAATTCAGATACTATACCATTCACCGATTTAAGTGTACAATTCGGTGACACTACGTATATTCATACAGTTGTGCATCCATTGTTATAATAAATTTGAAAATATTACCATTACCCCTAAAAGAAACCCCATACCTCTTTGCCTATAACCTCCAAACCCTCCATGCCCCACCAGCCCTAAACAATAACTAATCTACTTTATGTTTCTATAGATTTGCTTGTTGTAGATATTTCATACAAATGGAATCATACAATATATGGTCCTTTGTGACTTACTTCTTTCACTTAGTATAGTGTTTTCAAGGTTTATCACTATTGTAGCATGTATCAGTACTTCATTTCATTGCCAAATATTTCATTGTATGGATATACCTCATTTTTATCCACTCATTAGTTAGTGGACATTTGGTTGTTTTCACTTTTTAACTATTATGTATAATGCTGCTATGAACATCATGTGCAGCTTTTTGTGTAAATGTATGTTTTTTATTCTATTGTGTATATACTTAGGAGTGCAGTTGCTAAATCGTATCATAATTCTGTTTAACTTTTTCAGAAACAGACAAACTTTTCCACAGCAGCAGCATGATTTTACATTTAATCAGCAATGTATGAGGGGTCCATGACTTCTACAAAACTTGTTGTTATTATTTTTTTTTATTTAATTATAGCCATCCTGGTGGGTTTCAAGTAGTATCTCATTTAGTTTTCATTTGCATTTCTTTAATGACCCATGATGAGAACAACTTTTCATGTGAATACTGGTCATTTGTGTATCTTCTCTGAATAAGATTTTATTTATATCTTTGGTTATTTTTTAAATTTAGCTCTTTGTATCTTTATTGTTGAGTTGTAAGAGTTATTTATATATTTTGGACACTAGACCCTTATCAGGTAGATAAGTAAGGCTTAATATTTAGAAGTACAATCTAATATATACATTTTGATCTGGCTGTAAAGGATTCATAGGGATTTCAGTGAATAAATAAAATGTTAACTAAAATCACAGCCTTGAAATGGTAGTAAAACTTATTTTTTAAAACATATTCCTGTTTTTCAAAGCCTCTGAGATAATTGGGCAGGATTGTGCTATGATAAGATGAATCAATTAGCATTTGCTAATACATAATTTGTATTTTAGGGAAATTGGGGGACTTTTAGGTTAAGGGACTTTGGACTTTGGGTTCTCATTGAAAAGTCAGTATTTTATTAGAGCCAGTGGTCACCCCACCGTATAATTCTTCTTAAAATTTTTTAAAGATCCATATCACTTTGTAGTTGATAGACTATCATGTATTCCAGGAAACAACTGATCTGTTTCCTATGGATATCCTCTTACACCCCCATGAAATTAAACATTATGTCATTTGTCTTGTGATCTTTTTCTCTCATGCATTCAGATACCCTATCAATTCTTGGATCTCCTCTCCCTGGAACATCAGCTCCTAGCCAGGGTGTTGGTACTATTTAAACAGTACTATTTAAAATAGTGTTGTTTGCTTTTCTCACAAACCCATATTCTTATCTTCTATAATATTTTAAAAGTATTAAAAGAAGTTATGAAGGCAGAGAAAAATGTTTTAGCTCTTTAAACATCTCTCTAATATGTTTTCTTTTTTTTTTTTTCCCTTCTAGGAAAGTAATATCAATGAGATACTAGAAAGCCAATTGGAAGAGAGACCTACAGATACTGTAACATCAGGTTATGTATCTAATTTACTTTTGTATTTATTATTAAGATAATTAAAACAGGGTGGTTATATCACAAAAAGAAAACCAGTAATCTGCTTTAAGTAGATTTCATTTTTTGTTAGGGAATAAAAAATACATTTCATTATAGTCTTGGTATATAGTATTTATTTTGTAACACTCCAAAGAAAAGAATTAGACCGAATAAAGAATTATTTTTATTTTTGATACTCCTTTCCTCCTTTAAGGACAAGAAAAAAGTTAAATCTTATCTATAGTCTATGAAAAGGTGTGTTGTTAAACATTGTTAACTGTAGACCTATTGATTTCTTTTATGTGGAGGGTGTGTATGTGTGTGTGTAAGAGAAAGGGAAAAGGGAAAAAGTAGGACAGGAAATAAAGTTAGCATTAAATTTGAGAACTTTATACAAATCATCAGTGTGTGTGTGCATGCTAAGTCGCTTCAGTCGTGCCCAGCCCTGTGGGACCACATGGACTGCAGCCTACCAGGCTCCTCTCTTCATGGGACTTTCTAAGCAAGAACACTGGACTGGATTGCCATTTCCTTCTCTGCAAATTATCAGTAACATATTTAGTTAATAAAAAATACTGTATATGCAGCTTTAAGAAAAATCTATTAAAAGATTCACTTAGTAAGTTAAAATAGATGCATAATACTCTATCTTTAAAATCTTGGATTCTGCTGATGTGGATTAATGATTTATTGTTATAAGTTTTTGCCACAGGTTATTTATCTAATTTTACTTCTCCAGCTACCTCAGTCTTTAGTATATTCATTTCCTAACCTCCGAGGATCAACCAACCTAGCAGAGCTATTTCATCTTTAATCTGCCCTTTAACTGAAACATTCAAGTTTTAGGTTGTAGCAGAATAACAGCTTCCCTCTTTAATATCACTGTTGAAAATTGGAAGTTAACCTTTCTCACTAGTGAGTTACTCACTAGTGGTTGCTATCTTTATTTTTCTTTAATTTTTTTTTCAATTATCCTAGGAGTTTATTTCAGGTCCCATTGGATCCTCTGGTGACTTCTTTCCTTCTGGCATTCCAATAGCTCCCTGTAGTTACAGCTAAGTGATTTACTAATCACTGTGTTCCAGGCATGCTACTTGGATTATATAAATCAGTCCTCACAGCAGTCAACTGAGGATGCTATTATTATTTATCCACATTTTTACAGATGAGGAAACTGAGGATCAGTCTGTGAGAGGTCACATAGTCATTAATTTGAACCTTATCTGTTTGATCCAAGAGCTCAAGATTTTAGCCACGTTGCTGCACACGTTATATATACTTGTACCATTCCTATAAGATAAACTGTCTCTAATCTGATTTACTTGTCAGAAAATCAAGGCCCAGAAAAATGAGCTGACAGTAGTCATGCAACTAATAGTGACCTTACTAAATTTTGTTTTTATTAGATTTAAGCATTCCATTTTATCTCTGTATTTAATCCCTTCCCCTTTTACATTTTTTTCTTTGCTAAATACATATTGTTTATATTTCTAAAGTGAAAGTGAAAGTGTTAGTCACTCAGTCCTGTCCGACTCTTTGTGACCCCATAGACTGTAGTCCACCAAGCTCCCCTGTCCATGGAATTCTCCAGGCAAGAATACTGGAGCGGGTTGCCATTTCCTTCTCTAGGGGATCTTCCCAACCCAGGAACTGAACCTGGGTCTCCCGCATTGCAGGCAGACTCTTTACTGACTGAGTCATCAGGGAAGGCCAATATATTTCTGGAATATTTTATATTGCTAGGAAGATTTTGTAAGTGCTTCAGTTAGCCTCTGTTGAAAGATCCTAGTTCTTTGATTATATACAGCTTTATTCTAATCTCTTTTTCCAACCCCAACCTTAATCACTGACCATCTGGGATTTATTTTATTTCCTCTTGATTTTTAGCAAGATATACTCAGTTTTCATTCCAATCCCAAAGAAAGGCAATCCCAAAGAATGTTCATACTACTGCACAATTACATGCATTTCACATGCTAGCAAAGTAATGCTAAAAATTTTCCAAGCTAGTCTTCAACAGTACATGAACTGAGAATTTTCAGATGTTCAAGCTGGATTTAGAGAAGGCAGAAGGACCAGAGATCAGATTTCCAACATCCGTTGGATCATAGAAAAAGCAAGAGAATTCCAGGAAAATATCTACTTCTGCTTCCTTGACTGTGCTAAAGCCTGTGACTGTGTGGATCACAACAAACTGTGGAAAATTCTTAAAGAGACGGGAACACCAGACCACCTTACCTGCCTCCTGAGAAAATTGTATGCAGGTCAAGAAGCAACATTTAGTACTGGACATGGAACAGCAGACTGGTTCCAAATTGGGAAAGGAGTACATCAAGGCTGTATATTGTCACCCTGCTTATTTAACTTATATTCAGAGTACATCATGTGAAATACCAGGCTGGATGAAGCACAAGCTGGAATCAAGATTGCCAGGAAAAATATCAGTAACTTCAGATATGCAAATGACACCACCCTCATGGCAGAAAGCAAGAAGAACTAAGGAGCCTCTTGATGAAAGTGAAAGCGGAGAGTGAAAAAGTTGGCTTAAAACTCAACATTCATAAAACAAAGATCATGGCATCTGGTCCCATCACTTCATGGCAAATGGATGGGGAAACAATGGAAACAGTGAAAGACTTTATTTTCTTGGGCTCTAAAATCACTGCAGATGGTGACTGCAGCCATGAAATTAAAAGATGCTTGCTCCTTGGAAGAAAAGCTATGACATACCTAGACAGCATATTCAAAAGCAGAGATATTATGTTACTGACAAAGATCCATCTAGTCAAAGCTATGGTTTTTCCAGTAGTCATATATGGATGTGAGAGTTGGACCATAAAAAAGGCTGAGCATCAATAGAGTTGATGCTTTTGAACTGTGGTGTCAGAGAAAACTCTTCTCCAACTTTGGACTGTGGTGGTGTTCTTCAAGGAGATCAAACCAATTAATCTTAAAGGAAATCAGTACTAAATATTCACTGGAAGGACTGACACTGAAGCTGAAGCCCCAATACTTTGGCCACCTGATGCAAAGAGCTGACTCATTAGAAAAGAACCTGATGCTGGGAAAGATTGAAGGCAGGAGGAGAAGGGAACGACTAAGGATGAGATGGTTGGATGGCATCACCAACTCAATGGACATGAGTTTGAGTAAGTTCTGAGAGATGGTGAAGGACTGGGAAGCCTGGCGGGCTGCAGTCCATGGGTTTACAAATAGCTGGACATGACTGAGTGACTGAACAACCAATATGATATGCCTGTTTCAATGTCTTATATTGATGTATCTGAAGTGTTATCATATTATACTTTTTCACTTTATACTTGTTCATTTACTCCTCCATCTTCCTAGAGATTCATCAGCCTGTTTTTGTAACTGTGTAGTATCTATGTTTGAATAGCTGCTTTGATTTAAATTGCTCTTATTCTTGGTGAGAAAAATTGTAATAATTAATGCATAATGTTTATTATTTTATATATGATAAAATACTTCTATAAATTTCTTAACAGGTATCTCTCTAGTAAAGGAGCAAGCTGAAACTATTCTAAGTGAGGTAAGGAAACTTGAAAGAGAACTTCTAATAGTTACTGTTTTATAAAGGGGTGAAATATTTGTAAACAGAAAATATTTATGGATGAAAGGAAAAAAGCACTCAAGAAGTTATTTAGGTCTTCATGGTTATTTCTGATACAGCAATATTTGTACAGTTATATGATTCATTTAAGTTAAATTATACTGTTAAAGGGGAAGTTTCAGCATTAAATTGTAACATTTTAAAGTATATATGACTATAGGGGACAAAAGGTGTTTACGAACCAGAGGGGGGAAACAAGTTAAAAAAAAAATCATGAAGTTCTACATCTCAGACATGGATGCCACAGACCTAACTACATTCTGTCCTTTTTCTCTGTAACTATATACTCTCTGTAATATGCAATCTCCGTAATAAGTCTATATTGTATAATATATTTAACATAATATTTACTTTTTAGCTAATTTTACAGAAGGTATCAATTCCAAAAGCCAGTGAACCCTTATGGAAACCAATAAAATATAAAAGGTTCTTTTGTACTACTTGAAAAATAGGACTTGATGATTTCTATTCTTGGGCCGCTGGCTCCCCAAATACCAGTTGAAGAGTCAACATACACTGTTTTCGATAGTCCAAGAAGAGACAAAAAAGGCAATATAGGGAGCTTCTCATACAGCTAAATTTACCTGTCTTAACAGACTTTTATCCTTTCATTTATGATACTATTACTTGTAATATTTTACTATTAAAATTTCTTTTATTTTGTTATATAATTGTGATTTTTATGATATTGTTCTTTGTATTATTTTGCTATCAAAATTTCTTTTGTTATGCTACATTTGTGATAGTATAGTAACAGTAAAATATCAGACACCTCGATTTTCCTTCTTTGAGATGTTGCTGATTTATAAAATATGAATATATGAGAACTACTGCTTTATAATGCAGTGTGGTCATTTTTATGGATAATCTCTGTAGTCCATGGCTTCAGGCAGGTAGAGAATTTCTCAACTCTTAAGGAATGTAATAATTTACAAATATTGATGGTAACTTTTATAATAAAGGATAAAAGTACAAATGATTTAAGTCCAGTTTTGTTAGTTTTAAATATTTTTAACTGGTAATGATTAATTGGTAGCTTATTGATATATTTTCTAGTTACTGGACAATGATAATGATGATGATAAGAAAGGCCTGACTCTACCAGCTTTGAACCAGTCAAGTAAAGATGATTCAAGTATTGTTGCTCCTAAAACTGATGTGCCATCAAAGGAAACAGATACGCCATTGTCCACTGTTTCTAGGCTGTCAATAACAGAAGAGGACCAAATACCACCTTTAGAGGAACACCGGCAAGAAGCCATGCCAGTGAAAAAAATGAAAAATCTCTTCTTTCTACCAGAAGAAAAATTAAAAGAGAGATATCCAGGCCTTTTTAAAACTGACTCATATACATCAGAGGTAAAGTTGAAAAATATCTATATGAATCCAAGTAGAATAAAAAGGAGGAACTTGGATTTATCTCCAACAGAAATTTGGTGGCAAAGCAAAAGTCTCAGCTTAGCTTGAAAGAGGAACACAAGTTTAGTTTCCCCAGATTCAAAATCAAAAGGTAGCTTTCAAGGTAGGGATGCAAAGAAAGACATTGAATAAAGGTATCTGCCATCATATTAGAAGTATAAGAGTAGGAAAAACAAAAATTCATTAATAAAAATTAAATACAAATCAATTGGAAGTGCATTCAGATGTCTTCAAGTAGAAGTATGTCTAAGTATATTAAATATTCCTACCATACTTAAAATCATCAAGTAAAGGAGAAAAAGCCCCTGAAGGAAAACTGATGTGAGAAACCAGTAATACAAACTAGTCTCATCACCAACTCCTGGAGCTTGCTCAGACTCATGTCCATCAAGTCAGTGATGCCATCCAACCATCTCATCCTCTGTTGTCCCCTTCTCCTCCTTCCTTCAGTCTTTCTCAGAATCAGGGTCTTTTCCAGTAAGTCAGTTCTTCGCATCAGGTGGCCAAAGAATTGGAGCTTCAGCTTCAGCATCAGTCCTTCCAATGAATATTCAGGACTGATTTCCTTTAGGATGGGCTGGTTGGATATCCTTGTTGTCCAAGGGAGTCTCAAGAGTCTTCTCTAAGACCACAGTTCAAAAGCATCAATTCTTTGGCACTCAGCATTCTTTATGGTCCGACTCTCACATCGATACGTGACTACTGGAAAATCCATAGCTTTGACTAGACGGACATTTGTCAGTAAAGTAATGTCTCTGCTTTTTAATATTCTGTCTAGGTTGATCATAGCTTTTCTTCCATGGAGCAAGCATCTTTTAATTTCATGGCTGCAGTCACCATCTACAGTGATTTTGAAGCCTAGGAAAATAAAGTCTGTCACTGTTTCTATTGTTTTCTCATCTACTTGTCTTGAATTGATGGAACTGGATGCCATGATCTTTGTTTTTTGAATGTTGAGTTTTAAGCCAGCTTTTTCACTCTCCTCTTTGACTTTCATCAAGAGGCTCTTTAGTTCTTTGCTTTCTGCCATAAGGGTGCTGTCATCTGCATATCTGAGGTTATTGTTATTTCTCCTGGCGATCTTGATTCCAGCTTGTGATTCATCCAGCCTGGTATTTCACATGATGTACTCTGCATATAAGTTAAATAAGCAGGGTGACAGTATACAGCCTTGACGTACTCCTTTCCCAATTTGGAACCAGTCTGCTGTTCCATGTTCAGTTCTAACTGTTGCTTGTTGACCTGCATTCAGATTTCTCAGGAGGCAGGTAAGGTTGTCTGGTGTTCCCATCTCTTTACAAATTTTCCACAGTTTGTTATGATCCACACAGTCAAAGACTTTGGCGTAGTCAGTAAAACAGAAGTAGATGTTTTTCTGGAACTCTCTTGCTTTTTCGATGATCCAGTGGATGTTGGCAACTTGATTCCTGTTTTTTCTGCCTTTTCTCAATCCAGCTTGAACATCTGTAAGTTCATGGTTCACGTACTGGTGAAGAATTTTGAGCATTACTTTGCTAGCCTGTGAGATGAGTGCAATTGTGTAGTAGTGTGAACATTCTTTGGCATTACTTTTCTTTGGGATTGGAATGAAAATTGACCTTTTCCAGTCCTGTGGCCACTGCTGAGTTTTCCAAATTTGCTGGCATATGGAGTGAAGCACTTTCACAGAATCATCTTTTAGGATTTGAAATAGCTCAACTGGAATTCCATCACCTCCACTAGCTTTGTCTGTAGTGACGCTTTCTAAGGCCCACTTGACTTCGCATTCCAGGATGTCTGGCTCTAGGTGAGTGACCACACCATCGTAGTTATCTGGGTTGTGAAGATCTTTTTTATATAGTTTTTCTGTGTATTCTTGCCACCTCTTAATATCTTCTGCTTCTGTTAGGTCCATACCATTTCCATCCTTTATTGTGCCCATCTTTGCATGAAATAGTCCCTTGGTATCTCTCATTTTCTTGAAGAGGTCTTTTCCATTCTGTCATTTTCCTGTATTTCTTTGCATTGATCACTTAGGAAGGTTTTCTTATCCCTCCTTGCTATTCATTGGAACTCTGCATTCAGATGGGTATATCTTTCTTTTTTGCCTTTTTGCCTTTCTTTTTCTTGGGGATGGTCTTGGTCACTGCCTCCTGTGTAATGTCACGAACCTCCATCCATGGTTCTTTAGGCACTCTGTCTATCAGATCTAATCCCTTGAATCTATTTATCACTTTATCTGTATAGTCATAAGGGATTTGATTTAGGTCATAATTCAATGATTCAGTGGTTTTCCCTACTTTCTTCAATTTAAGTCTGAATTTGGCAATAAGGAGTTCATGATCTGAGCCACAGTCAGCTCCCAGTTTTGTTTTTGCTGACTGTATAGAGCTTCTCCATCTTTGGCTGCAAAGAATATAATCAACCTGATTTTGGTATTGACCATCAATACACATGGATATCAGTGATGTTTATGTATAGAGTCATCTCTTGTGTTGTTCAAAGTAGGTGTTTGCTAGGACCAGTGCCTTCTCTTGGCAAAACTCTATTAGCCTTTGCCCTGCTTCATTTAATACTCCAAGGACAAGCTTGCCTGTTACTCCAGGTATCTCTTGACTTTCTACTTTTGCATTCCAGTACTGTATGATGAAAAGAACATTTTTTCTTGGTGTTAGTTTTAGATGGTCTTGTATGTCATTATAGAACTGTTCAGCTTCGGATTCTTCGGCATTTGTGGTTGGGGCATAGACTTGGATCACTGTGATATTGAATGGTTTGCCCTGGAAACAGAAATCATTCTGTCATTTTTGAGATTGTACCAAAGTACTGCATTTTGGACTCCATTGTTGACTATGAAGGCTACTCCATTCTTCTAAGGGATTCTTGCCCACAGTAGCAGACATAATGGTCATCTGAATTAAATTCACCCATTGCAGTCCATTTTCGTTCACTGATTCCTAAAATGTTGATGTTCACTCTCGCCATCTCCTGTTTGACCATTTCTAATTTACTTTGATTCATGGATCTACGATCCCAGGTTCCTATGTAATATTGCTCTTTACAGCATTGTACTTTACTTCCATCACCAGTCACATCCACAGCTGGGTGTTGTTTTTGCTTTGGCTTTGTCACATCATTCTTTCTGAAGTTATTTCTCCACTGTTCTCCAGTAGCATATTGGGCTCCTACCGACTTGCAGAGTTCATCTTTCAGTGTGATATATTTTTGCCTTTTCATAGTGTTCATGGTGTTCTCAAGGCAAGAATACTGAAGTGGTTTGCCATTCCCTTCTCCAGTAGACCACATTTTGTTAGAACTCTCCACCATGACCCATCTGTCTTGGGTGGCCCTACATGGCATGGTTCATAGTTTCACTGAGTTTGATAGGGCTGTAAGCCATGTGATCAGTTGGTTAGTTTTCTGTGATAGTGGTTTTCATTCTGTCTGCTCCTGTGATGGGTAATGATAAGAGGCTTGTGGAAGCTTCTTGACGGGAGAGACTGACTGTGGGGGACTCTGGGTCTAGTTCTGATGGGTGGGGCCATGCTCAGTTCAGTTCAGTCTCTCAGTCATGTCTGACTCTTTGCGACCCCGTGGAAGGCAGCATGCCAGGCTTCCCTGTCCATCTCCAACTCCCAGAGCTTACTCAGACTCATGTCCATTGAGTCGGTGATGCCATCCAACATTCTCATCCTCTGTTGTCCCCTCCTCCTCCTGCCTTCAATCTTTCCCAGCATCAGAGTCTTTTCCAGTGAATCGGTTCTTCACACCAGGTGGCAAAAGTATTGGAGTTTCAGCTTCAGCATCATCTTTCCAATGAGTCTTCAGAACTGATTTCCTTTAGGATGGACTGGTTGGATCTCCTTGTAGTCCACAAGACTCTCAAGAATCTTCTCCAAGACTACAATTTAAAAGATCAGTTCTTCAGCACTCAGCTTTCTTTATAGTCCAGCTCTCACATCCATACATGACCACTGGAAAAACCATAGCCTTGACTAGATGGACCTTTGGTAGCAAAGTAATATCTCTGTTTTTTGATATGCTGTCTAGATTGGTCATAACTTTCCTTCCAAGGAGTAGGTGTCTTTTTAATTTCGTGGCTGCAGGCACCATCTGCAGTGATTTTGGAGCGCCCCCAAAATAAGGTCTCTCACTGTTTCCACTGTTTCCCCATCTATTTGCCATGAAGTGATGGGACTGGATGCCATAGTCTTAGTTTACTAGGCTATGCTCAGTAAATCTTTAATCCAATTTTCTGTTGCTGGGTGGGTGTTTGACCTGAAGCCAAACTTTGTAGGAGTAATGCCAGTAATGGTGACCTTCTTCAAAAGGACTTATGGCTATAGGATTGTATTCAGTGCTCCTGACCCTGCAGTAGGCCACTATTGACCCACACCTTCACCAGAGACTCCTGGACACTTATAGGCAAGTCTGGCTCAGTCTCTTATGGGAACATTGCTCCTTTCTCCTGGGCCCTGGTGCACATAAGATTTTGTTTGTGCCCTGCAAGAGTCTGTTTCCTTAGTCCTGTGCAGGTTCTGTAATGAAATCCCACTGGCCTCCAAAGTCAAATTCCTGGCTGTTCTCAGTCCCTTTGCCAGATCCCCAGGTTGGAAAAACTGTTGTGAGTCCTAGAACTTTCTTAACAGTGCGAGAATTTCTTTGGTATAATTTTTCTGCAGTTTGTGGGTCGTCTGCTTGGTGGCTCTCATGGTGGGGCCCAACTAGTTTCATGGGTTGGTATAAGATTTAGCTGCAAGTATAACAGCAATAGCAAAATCTAAATTCAAAGGAAAACCTGAGAGGTTATCTCAGTGGAAAAGAAAATTTTAAGTTGTATGTTATTTCTTTCTTTCAAAAAAATTTTTATTGGCATATAGTTTCTTTACAATGTTGTGTTAGTTTCGGGTGTACAGAAAAGTGAATCAGCTGAGTGTGTACATATGTCCCCTCTTTTTTGG